GGCACTTTCCCACCCTACCCAGGGTCCAGAGGCTTTCTAGGAGCTTGGGGAGGGTGAAAACAGCCTCCTCCCCCCCCAGAGGCCATCCAGAGGCTACAGGGGCTTCCCTGAAGTTCCAGAGGGCAACCTGGAAGTTCAGGAACGGTGACTTCAGGTTTGCTCATAGGGCCGTTTTTTGCCCTCTGGAGCTTTCCCAAAGTTCTGGTTTGCCCGTAGGGCTGGTGTTTTGCCTTCCAGAGGGCAAAAAACGGCCTTAAAGAAGGCTGAAGTTAGCTGGCCAGCACGCGCATGTGTGCTAGAGCTGACAGGGCAATGCCTCGAGGGCCCTAACAAATGGCTCTGCGTGCCACATGTGGTATACGTGCCATAGGTTCGCCATCATGGGCCTATGATAAAGCTTGACTTACCTAAATACATTATTAGTTCAAAGATTATAAAAAGAACCAACTAGTTTTTATTTAAAGAATCTTCATGCTGGCCTGGCAATTGAACTTCTAATACTTTTAACTGGAATAAAAAAGGATTAATCTGTTGTAAACCATATTTAATTGTGAATTATCCCCTGCAATTGCATGCATTATATACAGTATCACTGATTAAAAGTACATTTGGAATATTAAATGTTGTTTTGACATTATGTGTATAATAGTGGCACATGTCTCAATTGCTAGATAGATTAATATACAACATGATCATTTTGAAAACTGCATTAAATAGGTAAAATAAATATAAGTAAGCAGACAGAAAAAAAGAGTGGAAAACATTCATTGCCCAGATAATATAGGAGCAAATTACCACACTGCTGATAACACAATTACTTACCTAATAAATTCATTAAAATACTATTTGAAAAATTGTATTTCTTTCCCCTAAAAGTATAGGTTCCTTTGCATACATATTTTCCCTCATCATCTTTTTTCAATTCTTTTATAATAAGTTGGTTTCTGAACAACGCAAATCGTTCTCCTTGTACTGGCTCACATTCCTAAATATAGCAAAGTAAAATATTTCAATGACAAAAAGGGGAAGAAAATGCTTCTTAAATTGTAACATACTTCAATGGGTCTGCCATGACACATGCTTATCAGTATGTAAATTTGATTACTCTGTGCATATGTACCTCCATATACATATACTCAACTGCTTTTTGTAAAAAGATATTAGTTCATAGTTTGGGTTACTGGACACCCAGATAATAACAGTGGCAAATGGGACCTTTCACTAGCTTTTGATGATTAACTGATTGTGTCTCTACCTAGAGCAGGAAACTTACTTTCAGTGACACAGATGCTAATCACCTCAGGATTTGTTTTCTAAAATATGTTATTAGTAGGGCAACCACAGAAGGTAGTCAGAAATTGCAGCTGGTCAAGAATGCAGCAGCAAAAGTAATAAGTAGTATTGGAAGACCTTTATGTTAAAACAACAATATTAATTGCTTTCTGAGCATAATGCAAGGTTTTTTGCTGTATGGGGGCATCCAAAGTAAAAAGAAGCTTGTGTGTGTGTGTGTGTGTTTGTCATATATCTGTTACTAATATATGACATAGGCCCAAATTACCTGGCATCCTCCCAGTGGTGGGTTCCAGATCCCGTTGCAACTGGTACGATGCAATGGGGCTAGGCGTCCACCACATGAACGAGCATAGCGCGCGCATGCATACTTACTGTGACGCCTCCACAGTTCTTGATCTACCACAAGCTGCTCGGCGGAGCATCGCGGCCCAAAAACCCCAAATACCAGTAAGGAGCGCGGGTGGGCCTCTGGAGCATCATACCGGAACAGTACCTGGTGCTCCCGGCAGGCACCGGTATGCCCGTACCAGGGCGTACCAGTCATAACCCACCACTGCATTCTCCCTATTGCTCTATAGCCCTTTTCACACTCTTAGGTTTTTAATAAAGCTCATTTTACTGGTCCTATTTAACATTCTACCTGCAGCACATATATATATATATATATGTATATGTAGCAAATATGGCCCCTTTTGTGATAGGAATCATACATACTGTGAAATGTCATTATCACCAGTGTTGAAGCTAGCATATTCTTTTTTACAGCTTAGGAAAGGGCTTAAAATTGTTTACTTGGGACTTTTTAGACTGCTAAAGGTTGTAGTGTTTTGTTTTAACATATATCTGAGAATTATATATATTATTTATGTAATAAATATATTACATAAAATATTATTATTACATTTTCATACATTTATAAATCTGATTTATGCTCTGTGTATATGTGAGTGTGTTTGTGCATGTGTCTAGGGCAGGGGTGTCAAACTCAAGGCCCGTAGGCTGGATGGGGCCCGCACTGTGCTTAGATCTGGCCCGTGGGGCTGCCGTGGAAACAGCAAAGGACCAGCCCGTAGTGCCTCAGCCAATGAAAACAGAGCTTGGGGAAGCCATATGCAGCCCAGCCAGGCTGCATTTTCTTTGGAGAAGGGCTGCAGGAGGCCATCACAGCCAAAAACAAAGCCTTGATGAGTGATGTCGAGCTGACCACGCCCTCCCTGGCCACGTCCCCCTGGCCCCCTAAGGTCAACACAACACTGATGGAGCCCTCAATGAAATCAAGTTTGACACCCCTGGTCTAGGGTATTGTGGACAATTGAAAGAATATCTCAGAGAAGGTTGTATTCTTCATGTAGTCACCACTGAATTCAACTTGTCAGTCTTTATTCTATAGACATATCAACACATTGATTTTGAACAAAGAGGCATGTAGTTTTCTTTTCTTATTATTTTTATTATTCTCAATGTTTGTGTTTCTGTGTGAACTTTTCTTTTTAGCTTTCCTCCTAGCAACGCTTTGAACTGGATTATACA